TGACTAATTAGGGTTAATATTCGCTCGAAAGAGGGTATTAGCTAAAACAGGAGAATCGGGTCTAACTATCGCATTTTGATAATATGCATCGGCACATAATTGGTTCGAGATCAATGAAACAATAGGTTAAGCGACATCATAAATTCCAACCACACTTTTGCCTCCGAAATTTGCCAAGACACCTTTATTTTCGTATTTTGTAGATTGTAAGTTTTAAATCTTATTTTTAAATGTGTGTGTGTTTATTTTTGCCGTTAGAATTAAAATCTATTAAAGTTGTGTAATCCAAAGTATACATTCCTCGTGGGATCGATAATCCGGACTCTTTAGGTCCACTTTATTACTTGAACGCGACCCGTGCGCTTGCGGTACGATTTTCAGCGAACAGCCCACTAACAATTATGTACAGATGTGACGGACAGTTGCATCATGCATGCATGCAAACGAGGCAACTAAAAACTACGTGCACAAGGAAATTGGTCACTAGTGGTTGCTAGTGTTATGTTATTTTATTTTCGTTTGTTATGCTTTGTTTTACGTGTGTTAGTTCCAATTGTTAGCTGTTAGTTTCTCTTTTATTTCAATTCATTTGTATGTGGCATTGTCTATTTAAGCAGCCAACTTGGTTAATGAAAATCATCAAGTATTTTGCATTAAAAAATTGTGGTACGTCCTCACACAAAGATATCAAAAACTATGGTACGTTCTCACCCGAAGAGAATTAATTTCTATCCATTTTCTGGCATCTGACTGGGACCTATCAATTGGTGTCAGAGCAGGTTTTTAATGGCAACTAATGGAGATCGTGATCTCGAGCAGTTTGAAAGAAACTTGAACTTTGTTCGAGACTCTCTTAAGAGCTTTTGTATGGAGATGCAATTCCAGATTCGTGACTTGAAAGAAAAGCTTGGGGAGGTTATTAACTCCTTAGTGGGGATGAAAGCTTCCATGGAGCAGTCTTCCTTGCATACTTTCGAGAATGGCTCTATGTTTAAGGAATCCGACAAGTCTCGCATGGAGAAGTTAGACTTCCCTCGTTTCTCTTTTGATGGTTCCACCGAATGGCTAAACCACACCATAGCTACTCACAACCGATTTTATTGCATTTGTGTAATGCAAATAAATCTGGTTTCAGGAGTTAAAGAATGCAAGATGGTTTTGCTGGTGGTGTTCTAAATGGAAAGGCCAAGACAACGTATGTGAAGAGCCACGACATGACCATGTGGTTTATGGTTTGCCATTCTTCAATCTTGGTTGTTTCTGTCTCAGTTGGTTTCTGGGGATCTGTGGGTTTTGGCTTTTCTCTGGTACCAATGACAAGTTGTAGTTTGCCTTTGCCACTGAGACAAATTATTACTGACCTGGACCAGGGAATATAGTTTTTGTTGCCATTGAGGACAATGGCCGTGAGCTTGGTGCTATCAGTGTGTTGAGACATGTTTTTTTTTTTTTTGGTATGTACCGAGGAGGAGTTTCTTTGCCTCTGTTGGCTGTTTGCCCCTATCTCTCTTGACACAAATTGAGTCTTTTGGCTCTGGCCCTTTCACTGATACATGTTTGAAACCTGCTCTGCTACCATGTTGAATTTAGAGGGAATATCAGTAAAGATGATGAACAATGTTTTATTGATATATGTTCTGATTTACAAAGGGAAGATGTAACAGCTTATATAACACAGTAAGCTAATGATTGCCTATATCCTACTCCTATGTTGACCTACTGTACAATGCAAAAAATGGTGAAGGTAGAGTAGCTCCTTTCTCTGAACCTAGCTGCTCATTTTTCCTAAAATAGCCTATGATGAGCTGACCCCTTCACAGGTCTGAGGCTTTCCTAAAATGGCCTATGATGGATTGATCCTTCATAGGTCTGGGGCTATTATCCTTTAGTTCTATCCTAACCGACCTTGTTTCTCAACAAGATCCAATTGTTAGTTGTTAGTTTCCCTTTTATTTCGGTTCGTTTGTACGTGGCTTTGCGTATTGAAGCAGCCAACTTGGTTAATGAAAATCATCAAGTATTTTGCAATAAAAAATTGTGGTACGTTCTCACCCGAAGAGATCAAAAACTGTGGTACGTTCTCACCCGAAGAGAATTAATTTCTGTCCATTTTTCCAACATCTAACGAGAACCTATCAGACTCTTTCATGAATTGCATGGTTGGTATGAATTTATTTCAGTTCCACTGAATAAATTACTTTTTTCTCATTTATAATTTTTATATACATGCTCTTCTGAATTAATTGTAGTAACATTTGTAATTAACACGTTTTTCTATCTTTAATTTTGATTGAAATGTATTATGTATATTGTTTTACAGATTTGACCATCAGTTTTACCGTTAGAAACACGGGAATTGAGCATAGTATAATGCAGAAATATGAGGTCTGAACTTTCCTGCCTTGTACGCAAATCAGAGCAAGGGAATTTGAAGAGTCGGAGGACTTGAATAATAGAATTTTAGTAAATTCACAATGTTCTAATATGTTGTGCTACATGTACATCACAATATAACCAACAAATGATGTTGCAAGATTTGACTAGGTGAAAATTTCACCGACAAAATAAAAAAACATACTGAACGTTGGATTGACTTAAATTAAATGTCAAATAAGAGTGTCAAATTTTTTAGTAGGAGGAACAATCCCCTTTTTTTGGGTCATTAACTTGCATCACATAAGTACAATCGTTTAAGTTGATGAAGAGATTTCGACAATTTTAGTTTAATTTATAGTTATGCCATTAAAAGAATATATAAATCGTGATATACAATAATCATTTTTCAAAATAATACTCACCATTTAAAAGATTCTTTTCGGCAGGTGGTGAAAATTCGAAGGACATAAGGTGTGTTTCACAGTTTCAATGATTGTATAGAATATCAGAACTGGTATGACTTAGAGAGGATGCACTAGCGTGAA